TTTGTATTACGAAGCCCGAACTTCTCTATCATGTTTCGAGCATATTTTGTTTGACTCAGAAACATACCATCAGTTAGCTACTTCACTTGTAAACCCATAAAGTAATTAAGCTCACCAATTAAGCTCATCTCAAATTCAGCTTCCATGAATCTCACGAATTCCTCTCTAAAAAATTCAGCCGTTGATCCGAACATGATATCATCGACAAACACCTGTGCAATCATTAAATCCTTTCCCTTCAACATGATAAACAAAGTCTTATCTATTGAACCATGAAAATATTTCTTTTCCAGTAGAAAATTGGATATTCTCTCATACCAGGCTCTTGGTACTTTCCTAAGACCATAAAGATCTCTTCTTAGCCTCTACACATGATCTGGATGAAAAGGGTCTTCGAATCCCTTTGGTTGTTCAACATTAATCTCTTCATCCATCCATTGAGAAATGTCGTCTTCATATCCATTTGAAAGAGAGTGAATCCCAGAGAGCATGCAATATATACCAGCAGTCTTACAGCTTCGATACGAGCAATAGGCGCGAAGGTTTCATCATAGTCAATTCCTTCAATTGGTGTGTACCCTTGGGCAACTAATATTGCTTAATCCTTGTGATGTTTCCCTTTTCATTTGACTTGTTCTTTAAGATCCATTTGGTACCTATCACATTCATATATGAAGGTCTTTCCACCAAGTACCATACTTGATTTCTTTCAAACTGGTTCAGTTCGTCTTGCATTGCATTAATCCAGTATCTTTAAGAGCCTCATCAATTGTTTTTGGCTCAACTGTTGAGACAAAACAGTTCATACCAGATAGATTTTTGAAATCAATCTATTTAAATTGAGTTAATTAACTCAATGTATGAATAAACAACCCTCTTCTGCTTATACATACATTTCTTACACCTTCTTGGTTCGATTGTTGAAAACTCTGTAAGAAATGTATGTGTAAGCAGAAGAGGGTTGCTTATTCGACTGCAGTAGCTCTAGGCAGTGATTGCTAGTCTGTTGTTCTAATGACGAATGAGCAACCCTCTTCTGCTTTTCTCATGCACAGTCACCACATATGGTACTAGGCAATTTCGAAAATTTGGGAATCCCATTAATAGCTCCAATCTTGCTGATACTCAACAACTTTTGTGGATTGACATGATCCAATCTGGGTTCCATAACATGATTTCATCATCTTTTAGAATTAATGCTTCCATCCTTAGAAATTCCAACAAGTAATAGTTATTCTTTGATCGAACTCAAGTCATCACACATTTCTATCCAGCTTCATACACTTCACATGAATCTTTTGTAAACTTCACATGCAAGTCTTCATCACAAACTTGACTAATACTGATCAAGTTCGTGCTAAGACCTTCAACATAATAGACTTTCAACAATATTGAAATTCCTTATTTTCCAAGAACACCATATCCATTGATCTTTCATTTTTCACCATCACCAAAGATAGCATCTCCACTTCGGTCTTCAACAAAATTCTTCAAAAGTCCCTGTTGATTAGTCACATGTCGAGAATATCCACTATCAAAGTACCACCGATCAGCGCGGGTAGACTCTTGACTGACAAGATCACATTGTATTCTAGCTGTTTCTGATTTTTCTTAGGCATCCACACCAATTTAACTTTGATGTTTTGATTCAGCCTTTGCGTAGCCCACTGAATGTGTCTTCCATTGATAACATCATTTGTCAGCTTAAAACACTTCTCAACCGATTGACCTGGATACATGCAGTACTTGCAGTCAGTAGGTTGTGATAACTTCGATATGTCATTCTGAGTTTTTCTGCGGTTTATATTCCAATTTTTGCTTCTGCTCTTCTTTGGGTTCTATTTCTTAAAAGATGTAAATTTCTTCACTGGAAGTTTGACATCAGTTAACAGACCACCACACACAAATGTAGTTAGTTTAATTTATGAGGATTCACAAAATTCCAATCCTTTGTGACCACCAAAAGGTTTACCAATTGAGAGATATCCATCCAATTTCTCATTTCCTTTCCGAAGATTGTTCTTTTAACTTGAGTTTCTCATATTCAACAGCTTTTTCATCAACAATCTTCATCAGTTTTTCAAGTCCATCATCAAGCTTCTCATTTTCATCTTCCAATTGATAGATTGTGTGCAATAGTTTTTTGTTTTTCACCACAACTTTCTTATGTTCAGCTACCATTTCCTTACATGCTTTGATCAAATAATCAGCATCAATTTCTCTTGATTCATCAGTAGCTTTAGTACTACAACCTTCACTTTTCTTACTGGTTTCATCAATGTTTGCTATAAATGTCATTCACCACCAGTAGATTCACCATCTTCATTGTCACTCTATGTGGCTTGGTAAGCACTATTTTCTCTTTTCTTTACCTTTGGGCACTCGAATTTAATATGTCCAACACCACCATATCCATAGCAGGTAGGTTCTTGAACTGTCTCAGGTTTTGTAGACACCACAAACTTTTTCTTGAATCCACCATCAAATTTTTCTTTCGGCTTGCTGTAAGTAGTTGGTTTCTACTCAGGGTATTTTCGTTGTGAACTGGATGTATTCACTCCATCGTAACCACTTATGTTTTGAAACTTCCCATACTTCAGCTTGGCTGCTCGTTTCTCACTTATCATTCAACTCAGAAGAGTCATTTCCTCATTAGATTTAATCAGCTACATGTCTTCGACACTCAATGTCATACTTTTAGGAGTTTCATCTTTAATATAGTTCTTCTCATAACTCACCAATGTACCATACAATTCATCCAAAGTCATACATCTTAATTTCAGAGGCTCATCAAGCATAATCACTTTTAGCTTAAAATTTTTGGTGACTTTTAAGCATCTTTCTCATCAGCCTATTTTCTTCAAACTACATTCCCAAAGCTTCAGCCTGGTTGACAGTATCCATGAAACGATTGTAGTATTCGGAAATAGTTTCATCTTCATTCATCTATATCCTTTCGAACAATATCTCCACATATTCCAGTTTTGATTCTCGGACTTGAACAAATCAATTGAAGGTATTTTCCAGAATATCCCAAGCTTCCTTAGCAAACTTACAGTTGGATATCAGCTTTACCTAAGTTTCATCCACATCATTGAAGATCGAAAAGATGGCATCCGAGTTTGCTATTCCAGCAACTTTCTCATTCATCGTCCATTCTCTCTTTGATTTCTTCACAAGAGTGGTAATATCATATTCATCTTGGATGGTTTTCATGGGATGAGACCATGCAAACTCAACAACATCAACAACATCTTCACCTTGAGACATAAAAAAATCTTTCATTTTATTCTTCCAATTTCGATAATTTGTTCCATCGAACAATTAAGGTCTCGACGTTGAACGACCTTCCTTACTCATCTTTGCAACTGTAAAAGGACCTACTCAGCAACTTAGAGAACACTGCTCTGATACCAAATGTTGAAGAATAGGTGTTGCACCAAAAATCCTTCGAACACCTAAACAAAGGTTAACTCCCGAACTTGTAGTTATATCACAGTTATAACACCCTACTGCCAACCGAATTCATGCAGAAATACCATACAATAGATAAGATAAAGGTTTGTTTACCCAGTTCGGATATAAATAATCGTACATCTGCGGGATACCAATCCAAGAGAAATTCACTAATGAGTGCTGATTAAGAACAAATATAACTACCACTTCTTCAACTCATTCCTCTATACTGGTTACCTTGGAAAAATTCTTCTACGAGTTTGCATTGTCACAAACTCGTGCTGACAACTACCAAAGAGCATGGCTGCTCAGAATATGGACGTTTTCGTTTATCGGAACTCCGATTTCTCCTTCATCCGATGAGGTCTCCGACGGATAAAAGTAACAAGCACTCACTTAATATATGGTGAAGAGAATAGTTGGGATTGAAAGAATTAAACAAATTTTTTCTCACTGCACATATCTCTCAAAACTATTATAACAACCAAAACTCTCTACACGGTTTACAATGTAGCAACCATGCAGGCCATGCAAAACAGCCACAATTAGAATCCCTTACACTTTAAATAGAATGGTGTGTCTCTGCATGAAATATGAACAAATAGAATACCCAAAACATCCATTCCTTTTGTCGTGTGTACTCACCAACCGAGAGAAACAAAATAAGCACAGTCCAAGGTTGCACATTGATGGGATTGCACAAGTTGGGTGAAGCGATACTGTTTATGGGTTCTGACGACAACAACAATAAAAAGTGGTTTTGTCCATATGCCAAAACAGGTAATGGGGTATTTTTTTTCATTTATTTATTTATACTAATAATACTAATAAATAAAAATATTTATTTATTTATTATTATTAAGATCAATTTAATTTTATAAAAAAAATTAAATATAGATAAACATATATGTTTATTAAATAAAGAGATAGAAATAAAGCGGTTTTGAGTGATATTATATGATGCTATATGTTACGAAGTTAATTAAATTAGATTTATATTTATTAAGTATGTTGTGATTTAGTAAATTTTATAAAAATAAAACTATAGCAATTAAAATGAGACATCGTTATTTTATTTTTTTGGGTTTTTTTTTTAACAAAAATATGCAATTTTTTTTTTTTTTCTTTAAAGTTTCTGTATATATAAATATTTAGTTGTTTATTATCAATTTCAGTTTTCGTTTTGATTAATAAAATGACTAGCATCTTTAATTTGCAAATTTCTCTTGCTTTACTATGTCAATTGGTGTGATCGGGCATCGTGTCTGTATTCTGGGAATTTCACTCCCTCATTTTCTTTACGTTCTTACCTCATCAGCGGACGTGTTTCTGTTCAGAGGCAGAATTCCTGGTTCCATTCAAAGTTTGCAGTATTACTTATTACCACAATATACATATAAAATAAATTAAATGGCCTAATCAATTAATTCAATAAAAAAATTCAACCAGAACTGCACCAAAGTGCTACCCAACAAAATGCAGCTTAATTTTACTTTCTTGCTCCTAAATCCCAACAACATATAATTGATATACTGTTTCTGAAAATGCTCTCCTCATTCTTCCTCCAGTCTCTCTTATTTATCATCTTCATCCATTCATCATCATCTCCCTCCCAATTCATTCCGGATCTGGGTCTGGATCCGGATCCGGGTCTGGAGGGCCAATGGCAGCTCCTCCACAAAAGCGTCGGCATTTCCGCCATGCACATGCAGCTCCTGAGGAACAACAAGGTTGTCATCTTCGATCGCACCGATTTTGGCTCGTCAAATCTGACGCTCCCCGCTGGCCAATGCCGCTTCGATCCCAACGAAAAGGTGCTCCTAACGGATTGCTCGGCGCACTCCATTTTGTACGACATCTATACTAATCGATACCGGCCCTTAATGGTCCAAACCGATACTTGGTGCTCCTCCGGCACCGTTCTCCCTCAAGGCACCCTCGTCCAGACCGGAGGGTTCAATGACGGCGACCTCGTTGTCAGGACATTCGACCCATGTAATGGAGAGTTTTGTGATTGGATCGAATTCCCGGGATACTTGTCTAAACGTAGGTGGTATGCGTCCAACCAACTACTACCCGATGGGCGAGTACGAATCGTGAATCAATTTATTTATTATAAGGCAAAATTGTTTGGAAAGTCTGCATCATATTTTCTTATAATTTAAAAACTATTTAAAAGAATTTCTCGAATTTTCTAAAAATTGTATGAACTCGCTCATATTTTCAAAACTATGAAGAGTTCAATATAATGTTTAAATTATAAGGGAGATTATAAGAAATTTTTCCCTTATAATTAAGAAAATGTGTAAGGCTCTCTCGTGCAAAGAATTTCCTAAACATTACGTGAGTTCTCCTATGTTTTCGGAAACATGAGTAGTTTAATATAGTTTTTAAATCATAATAGAGATTGAAGCAAAATAATTTTATGATTTAAAAAATGTATAAAGCTCTCTTGTGCACAGAATTTCCTAAAAATTGTAAAAATTTCTTTGGTTTGTTTGTTTTGTTAAAATTGTTAGTAGATAAGTTTTTTTTATGTGAAATATAGAAAATTATATACGCAATATAAAAATAATAAGTGTATTAATGGATAGGGAAATAGGATTTATTTTTGGGACAGATCACATGGGTAAGTTTTTTACAAAAGAAACAAATGTGGTGTTCTTTTGTGGTTTTACCACATCTTTTTACTGTGCACTAGTTTTTTTTTTTTTTAAATATCAAATTTAACAATTATTTTTTTTTTATATTATACTATAAATTTATTTTACATTCAAAATATTATATCAACCTCTATTCATATAACATCAAACAACTATGAAATTCAAATTTTTATTGTTTAAAAATCCAAACCCAAAAATTAAACCCACGACAAAAACATTTGTATTTTAAAAACATGAGAAACCTAATTATGAGGAATATTATAAAAAAATTTTCCATTTTAAATTAAATATATAAGGTTCTTTCGTGCAAAATGAATTTCTGCATGAACTCTCTGGTATTTTCGAGAAAAAAATAAGAATCTCGTACAAATTTTAAATTATAAAAAAAAATTATAAGCCATTTTGTCTTATTATAATTAGTTTATACATTAATTTCGTTTTGTGACTAATTATTATTGACAATGAAGGTGATCATAGTTGGTGGTCGAGACCAGTTCAACTACGAATTCTACCCGAAGATCTTCCCGGGCGAATTCAGACCGTTATACTTTCTTAAAGAGACCAAAGACGAGTACGAGAATAATCTCTACCCTTTCGTCCATTTACTACCCGACGGGAACCTCTTCATCTTCGCCAACACGCGCGCCATCCTCTACGACTACATCAACAACCGCCTTATCACCGAGTTCCCGCCCATCCCCGGCGGCGACCCCCGCAACTACCCCAGCTCCGGCTCCTCCGTCCTGCTCCCTCTCGACGACCAAAACCTCCAACCCGAAATCATCATCTGCGGCGGCGCTCCGCAACGCGCCGTCGAGCGCGCAATCCAGGGGGCCTTCCTCCGCACGACCTCCACTTGCGGCCGCCTGAAAATTAAACCCACCGCCACCTGGACAATGGAGAACATGCCATTGCCGCGGGTCATGGGCGACATGCTCATCCTACCCGACGGGAACCTAATCATAATCAACGGTGCTGGGTCGGGGGTCGCCGGCTGGGAATCCGCGAGAGACCCGGTCACCCGGCCCGTCATTTACCGCCCCGGATACCGCGCTGGCAGCAGGTTCGCCGTCATGGCGGAAGCTGCACGGCCGCGGCTGTACCACTCGACGGCGATCCTGCTGACGGACGGGCGGGTGCTCGTTGGCGGGAGCAACCCGCACGTGTACTACAATTTTACGGGAGTCGATTACCCGACCGATTTGAGCCTTGAGGCGTTCACGCCGCCGTATTTGTCGCCATTATACGATTCGCTCCGGCCGAGAACGGTCGAGTTGAGCCGGGAGATCATCGGGTACAATCGACCGTTCTCGGTGGACTTCGAGGTTTCGGGGTTTTTGAAAATGGCGGTTGTTACCGTGCGGATCGTGGCACCGGCGTTCAATACGCACGCGTTCTCAATGAATCAGAGGATGGTGGTGCTGAAGGTGGCGCGGGTTTCGTGGATGCGTGAGAATGTGTACTGTGTGTCGGCGGTTGGGCCGTCGACGGCGGAGGTTGCGCCGCCGGGATACTATCTGTTGTTTGTGGTGCACGGCGGGATACCTGGTGCCGGAATGTGGGTTAAGATTCAGTAACGTTGATCAGGTAAGGATGAAGTAATTAATTTAATTAATTGTTAGATGAACTTCATTAGGCCAACTTTCAAAACTTTGATTAGCTTGTTTCATTGAATAACAAATTTGAGTAATGCCTACTGCAGTCGATAAAATCACGTGAATGCATAATCATAATCATAATATTTTAGTAAATTGGTGTTATAGATTTTAGCATGAAGAGTTTAGTTATAAGAACACAATCAGCATTAAGAGTTACAAAGAAATGGTGAGGTTGGAAATTAAGAAGTGTTGGGTGTGGGGCATAAATAAATACTTATAACCCAGGTCTAATTTGGAATTGAATATCATTCTCCTTACGAATTAAAGCATTATATGAGATTTTTTCTTGTTTTATAAAAGCATTAATTGCACATAATTTTATTTTTTATTTTTAGAGTATTTTCTATAATATTTTTGTAAACACGATCAAATTTCACATCATTTCTAAAACATAATGTGCAATATTTTTTAGAATAAAGTAATAAATTATCATGTAATTTCATAAACTACTATGATTCAAATTTTCTAAATAACATGTGAATTATAAACACCTTTGCAAAAAAGAGAATATAGAGAAGAGTTACACTATTTTTATTATTTTATAACACTACCACAAAAATTGAAAATTGTCTCAAAAAATTGTCTCGACTTGTTTATGAATACGAGACAATTAATTGAATAATCTCAGCCTCGAAATCGTTTCAGTAGCCGTTTGCTCGTGACAATATCAAAAGTCACAAAATGACGAGATATATTGTCTTGTCAAGTTGACTGAGAGATTGTCGTGACAATAAAATGTCTCGAGAATTCCCGCAAACTCCGTCGAGACTAAATTTTGTCTTCAACAATCATGACAACATCTGAGACTATATTTTGTCACGAACAACCATGACACCATTCGAGATTATATTTTGTCATGAACAACCATGACAACCATGTGCCTACCAGAATTTCAACACCTACTGCTGCAAGAGATTTTATAATAGTTTATCCATCTCATTCTCACAATGTTAATGCACTATTAACACAATCAAATTTTAAGAAAACTAAGCCTTAAACAAAAAGCCACAATCTCACTACATAAAAACATATTGAAGTGTAAAATGAACCGGTTATGCTACAGGATAGAAAAAAGATCTACTTTACAATGACCAAACATCCAACAAAATACTAGATATCAAGACTTTGAGTAAGAGATATAAATTTAGAAAGTAAAGTACATTCTCAAAGATATCCACAGTGTCCTAGTTATCTTCAAAATATACTTTTGTCAACTTAACACAATGTACTTCTGAATTCAAAAATATGATTTCCCCGTAATGTATAGCATTTCAATTTGAAATAAGATATTCTAAAATGTGTCATGAATATATTGGAATATTCATTGACCACGCAATAGTAAAATGCATGAAATTACTTCACCCTACTAAAAAGATCATATCTATGATTCAAATTGCAAATAAACGTAATACTACTAATAATCAACATAAGAGAATTTCAGTTTACAAATAAATTTAAAAAAAAATTAAATATGGTGGATAAGATGATTAGATAGAAATAATATTTTGAGGTATAATTTAATTCACTATATACATTTCTTGACAGACATTGTCTGGATCCTCTTTCATGAAAAAAAAAAAAAAGAAAAAAGAAAAAGAAAAACATCTCACAATCTAAGGGTTGACATTATCCGAAGATGGATGTGTTTGCGTATGTGTAAACTTATATGCATGCACAAAATAAATAGTTCTTACCCATCTTTGCAGTTGAATTCCAGATCTCCTCAGAAATGCAATATGTAGATGAAGATGCTACACCAAGTTGTTCCGTAGCTTCATGGAGCTTCTTCTCTCTGCACCAGTTTTAAATTTTCAAGTTAACACTTCTCAAAAGCACCAAATTAATATGCAGATAACTCAACACAACCATACATAATAGTGCTGGAAAATTTACCACAAAACAACCAAGATTATCATGCCTTTCTCGACATAACTCAGTGAAACCATACCAATGCTAGCATATATTTCCGACTCACACCCTGCATAAGAAAATGCCAATATAACATGCTTTGTATTCGATTTTGAAAACCTTACTTAACTAGTTAAACCCCGACAATAAAAACTTGTAAGATTGATTCCCACCTTGCGCCAAGCTCTGAATTGTAAAGAAAAAAGGACAAATAAATGAAACTGTTAAGTGCCTATTTTGTATTAACCATTTGTATATGTCACCCACAACTTACTTTCACACCCTGCTTTCATTCTTCTATTCGTTCTTAATAACCTCATATGTAGGGATAAATTTTCAGTGGCATCAAATGCCCATCTCTGAAACCATGAATTTGTTGCACAATGATTTTGCACTAAAGAACTTAAAAGAACATTGAAGTTGTGGTAACAAAAAAATTGACACTCTCTGCATCTCTTGTTCCAATATTTTGGAAACAAGAAAAGTTCACGGCATGAACCATATTTCAAATCAATTCAACACTGATCGAAGAAAATAAATACAAGAGTTTGATATCTTGAAAAATAAGCTTTGTTGCAACTTCCAAACCTTTATTTATGTTTCGGGATCCTCTCAAGAGCCTTTACTTCAACTTTGTCAAACCAAGGATCACACTAAGTCAAGTTTTCACCTTATCTGTTATAAAAAATTAGAAAAAACAGGTAAAGGCATAACACATTTTCTATTGCATCTGATCTGCAGAAATGAAAATAAATGGTTCCAACATAATATATGAGAACTCACAAATCAAGAGCATTTACTTATTCAGCAAAATTAGCAAATTAATCATTATATTGTTCATGTACATCAACCTCCCCCCGGTCAGAAATATGACGGTCATTAGTTTCACCTTCAAAAGATTCCAACTGACTTACATGTAAATCTAGATTTACATTAGATTGAACAGTATCAAATAAATTGTGAGATGCAATTAGAGTCTATCCACGTCGTGGATCCTTGCACTTGATCAAACTGATACGTCAAATCATCCCATGTCACATCCACCACATTACGTGGCCTGGTTTTCATAACAGTCATCCATTTAGAGTTGGATCTAGGTTTTTTAGCATACTCAATGAAAAAAAAATATTTTGCTTGTTGTGCCAATATGTAGGGCACTTTTGTCCTAAGGAGATTCCGAAAGTTCACATCGACCAAATCAGATGTATGATGGCGCCGCGTGCCTCGGTTTTGGTCAGCCCATCGACAACGGAACAAAACCACATTCATGTGATAATCTAAATCGTACAACACTTGCAGAATCTCTTCAATTACTCCATAGTATTCTATTGAAGTACCGTCATTGCTATTAGATTGCACTGCAACTCCATATCTCTAACTCGCCCGCCCATCACTTTGTTCAAAGGTACTAAATTTTCATCCATTGATCACATATTCCTTAAATGTTCTCACTTTATAACTCATGCCTGTGCAATAGCACGCAAGAGTTGAAGCACATCATCTAAGTTCATATTCATTATTAAGTCTCGAAACCAATGCACATAACCTTCGAAAATAATATGATCAACGGAAGTAAATGATGTCCCTATGTGCTCCTTAGCCCAGTCACGATAGAACCTGTTAGTTTATTCATGTTTTAAACTAATCATTAATCTCCTTAGATAAATTAATGATACATTTATTATTATAAAAACTTATCATATAATCCACAAATAAAATATTATATTAATTACCGAAAATAAGGCTCTGCCTCAGGAGTGTTGGTCAAGATATATACGAAAGCCGATCGATATTCTGAATCCAATAAATACCATGTTGCTTCACGTCCACCTGCTTGTCCCGGAAAGTTAAAAATTGAAAATGTCTCTCCATTTGTGAGGGTGGAAGCTCTTAATCTACCGTCATTATTCTTTTCGTTGAAATATTGTGTTGATAAATATCCAACCTCCTCCATAATATATGCTGCTGCAATTGAACCTTCCATATGTGCTTTGTTTCTAACCTTGTTCTTTAAGTCCTTCAAGAATCTAGCATTCAAATATCCATCATAAGTAAGGTTCTAGTAAATTACATATTGATTTAAAAATCATACAACATACCTCTCAAACAACACCCTAGCATCTTGACACGTGATACTATATACTGCCTTCGTTTTTGGTCCATCAAGATCAGGTGGAATGGACAATTCAAGTCGATCACATAACATATGCATGTCTTTCCGAGCATTGATGTTGTCTTTTGTTTTCCTGGACCATCCATGATCGTGTAGATAATATTGTCAAACACATTCTTCTCAATGTGCATTACATCTAGATTGTGCCGCAACAACAAATCTTTCCAATAAGGTAGATCCCAAAGTATACTCTCTTTTTTTCATTTATGCGATTCTCGGACCCATTATGTGCATCTGATAATGGGTTATCAATTACCTTTGGTATACTTGAAACCCATTGCAATATCAAATCCCCACTTAAACGCCCCCGTACAATACCCTCCTTAACTTTTCCCTTAATAAAACTCCAATCATCTCGACGAAAGGCATGGCATCGTGGTAAAATCGTCGATGACAATCAAAGTAGCACACTTCTCTCCCATATTGTAGTCTAAACGCCGGATTATCATCCATACAAATTGGGCATCCTAGGATACCTGTAGTACTCCATCCCGATACCATCGCATATGATGGAATATCTCCTATGGTCCATATTAAAGCCGCATGCATACGAAATTGATGATTGTATATGCATCATATACCACATCTCCATTGTGCCACATATCTAATGATTCGTCTACCAAAGGTTGCAAGTACACATCTAACTTTCTTTTTGGATTATTTGGACCAGGGATGACAACTGTAAAAAATATGTATTGCTTTTGCATACACATTCCCGAAGGGATATTGTAGGGTGTCAAAATTACTGGCCAGGATGAGTAATTACGACCATATGTTCCAAATGGGGCAAATCCATCAGTGCATAGACCAAGCCTCACATTGCGTGGATCTTGCGCAA